ATAATATTGAATATTAACTGTAATTTTAAATTTTAATTAAAAATGAGTAAAATAAAGATAGGCATCACATGATTTCACTCCTATATGGTATCTAATGAACAAGATAAACTAATGAACAAAATAGATCCGTAGTCATAGAAGCATGGAATAGACTGATATATCTTAGAGGGAAGGTGGGGGTGGGGTAGGTGGGAGGTATGAATCAGGGACCTTATATGCATACTAGAGGTCCAGTGCACAGATTCATGCACTGGTGGGGTCCCTCAGCCTGGCCTGTGCCCTCTTACAATCTGGGACCACTTGGGGGATGTTGGACCGCTGGTTTCAGCCAGATTCCCTACAAGGATATAGCAGTGTGTGAAGTGGCAGGTGGCTGCGGAGGAGCCCAAGCCCCGGCTGGGTGTTGCATCGCTCCCACTCAATCCAGCCCCCTGCGTCTGCTGCTGCCACTGTCATGGTAGTGCTGCCATGGAGGTGGGAGAGGCTCCCCCAGCTGCAGCTGTGCTCGCCACCTGTGAGCCCGGCATCTGGCTGAGAGGTGCTCCTGCTGTGGGGGCACACTGACCATCAGGGGGCAGCTCCTGCATTGAGCATCTGCCCCCTGGTGGCCAGTGCACATCATAGCGACCAGTTTATGGGTCAAGCAGTTGTAATGGTTGCTTAGGCATTTATATATATAGATATGCATAGCCCATGGACACAGACAATAGAGTGGTGAAGGCCTGGGAGGGGCGAGTGTGGGGTGGAGGGGGCCAATGGGGGAAAAAAAGGTAACAACTGTAATACTTTCTAAAATAAGGATACATTTAAAAAACTAAAGAGATTTTTTGAGGTTTAAGTGAATACAAAAAACTTCATATATTTAAAGTATACAATTTGAATACTTTTGACATATGTATACACCCATTAAGCCATCACTACAAGCTGTTAGGACCAAGAAGTTTCCCCAAGCCTACCTCCTGCTCCTTCTTTGCTCCTCACCTCTGTCCCCCAGGGGAACTACTGATATGTTTCTGTCACATCAATTAGTTTGCACCTTCTAGAAGTTTATCTAAGTGGGATCATACAGAATATATTCTTTCATTGCTGCCATCTTTCACTCAGCATAAGCATTTTGAGATTCTTTTATGTTTAAGGATGAATACGTATCAAGACATTTTTATATTCTTTTTGCCCTTTAGATGATTCTTTTATTGGCAAGTCCTATTCCACTGTACAGATATACTACAGCTTTTTTGTTCACTCACCTGTTGAAGGGGCTTTGTGTTCTAACAGAGGTCTGTATAGGTTTTGGGGAGCCTGCTGAATGACATCATTGGAATTGTGATGCAGAGGCCACGGGCAACTGGGAGCTTTCTGCTTGCCACCTGGAGACTTGGGCAGAGGCCCTAGGTATCAATGACATTACGGACACTGTCGGCTGGGACTGCAGTTGCAGTTCGGTCTCTGGCCCCTAACCATGTTCCTTCCAAGGGGCCTGGAGGAACTTGGACAATTATCCCAACTGACTGCTGCTCTAGTCGGAGGCTTGGGGCTGTCTCCCTCTGGGGTCTCTTTCTGAAGCTAAAAGGAGATCAACTGCCCACTGTTTTGAAGCTGCTGATCAGACATGAGAATCAGTAAAGGTCCTCAGACCATGATGGTTTGTTCCCTTCCCTTTAATCCTGGGTCTCCTGCACAGAAACTGAAGATTTGGGAAACAGCACAAAGCACAAGGTATCAGAACTCACAGCTCTGGTTTAGATTAGAAGGGACTCAGAAATCTCCATAATTGTGTGTGTGTGTGTGTGTGTGTGTGTGTGTGTGTGTGTGTTGTATGACTTTGTGTGTGTGTCACTGACTCACACACTGAATGTCTCCACTGAGGATAAGTATAAGTCAGGGAAGCCTGGAGTTTCCTCAGCGATGTCTGCCTTATTTCTCTTGTGTTTGCTGCCTGTGTGCTGCATGGAAGACCTTGTGCATCACTTGTGATTTGAATCTGTGACTGCCTATGACTGCAATGTGTGTGGTGGAGGATGCTTGAGAGTGAGTTTTGTGTGAGTTTTGCATAGATTTGTGTGACATTGACTCACACTCTGGCTGTATTTACTTAGCTTGAGTGTAAGCCAGGGAAGTCTGTAAGTCTCCCTTTGGCAAGGCTGTGACTGTGATAGTGTGTGAGTGTTCTTGTGTGTAACAAACTTACACCTTGACTTCCTTCACACAGAAGATATGTAGGATGGAGACTTAAAACCAAGATACTGAAACAGGCCAACAAATATCTTGCTTTCATATGTTTGGATTCACCATAGCTACAGACCAGAATCCACTCAGGCAGCTCCAAAGAAAGCCCATTTTGAAGATCTGATGGGGCCATTTTTTACTGATTTGAATACAGGAGCATCCCTGGAAGCCCAGTGTTTTTGAACTTCTTCTTAAACTTTGTTACATGGTTTAGAAACTAAATGCTCATATCTGAGGTCATATATGTCTACACTCAACTTAATAGCTCTGTGGTCATAGATGCTCAGCAGCCTCCACTGTCAAATGGGAATAACGACAATCACTGGAATTTTGTCTGTAAGGTGCTTAAGTTCTAGCACATTGTAAGCACTTAGTAATTTGTAGCCTGTAGAGGCCATGACACCTGACTCTCCATTTCCTGAATGCTAGGAGACAATACCTGGTACACTGACAAGAAAGTCAGTCTATACAAAGACTCCCCTGGACCTCCAGGCAGCCGCTTCTCCTCTCTGTTACTGAGTGTCTCCCAGCCACCTCTTTCACTCATGGTGCTGACAAAATCAAGGTACTATTTCTGTATTGTTCCCATCCCTCCAAATGGGTCTCTTCCAGGAGATGTTTGAGATCCTAGTTACTTACTGGCATTACTTAATCTTAAGTAATGCCAGTAAGTAACTAGCATTAGACACACATACACAACAAGATCAATGCCAAATTCCTCTCCCAAGCTTATGGGTATTTTGACATTCAACTTTAGCTTAACCTTTCTACCTCCCACAGGAAGAAATGGGTGAAATCTCTTCCCAGTGAAAAGATGATGAGAAAATTTACCTTTGAGATCAGGTTCCGCTGGGTAATGTCTATGTGAAATTGTGTAAGCCATCTCACTACTGTTAGTAAATGAAGGAACAAAAATCACCGTCACCCTACTTCCCAGATACAGAATAAACAATGGTAGATTGAGTGAAATTGAAGGTACATAAAAGCCATTTGCAAAATACTGGGCTTTAGGACTATGAGTGGTGACCCTGTCTGAGCAGAAGGACTCCCACTAATGCTGAGACTATATTTCTTAAGGTCCTGGCTCTTTTGTCTAATTAAAAAGAGGGAGAAACAGCAGGGTTATAGGAGCAGAGATTCTAATAAATTTAAGAAACATGAGACAATTGAGACTACAGCAGTTACTAACTGTGTGGTCATGTGGGTTCTCACAACTTCTGAATATGTATATAATGAAGTTTTACAACACCTACCTCCTAGGACAATTGAAATTTAATGTGTCAATAAATGCAAAAATGTATTGGTTTGACAGAGTGTTTACTAAATGTCAATTATTATAAACTAGGGGCCCACTGCATGAATTCGTGCACCTTGAAAGGAACTGGAGGCCGTAAGGTTGCAGTGGGCACAGGGGCGGGTCTTGGCCCATCCTTGGAGCCCCTGCCAGGTCCATCCTACTGAGGGCCCCCAGGTCCCCTGTCTGTCAGCAGCCCTTCTCCCACCACCACTGATAGCGCTAAGCGATTTGAGCCAGTGCCAGCTTCAGGTGCGAGCAGCAGCAGTGCCGGCAGCAGATGAGAGCAAAGAATTTTCAATAACTACGAGAGGCTCGCCCCAATCACAGTGACTGGTGCTGAGCCTTGGACTAGCATCCCCGCTCACCTACTCCACCATCCCACCATGGCCGATGCCCACCATGTTCTGCACTCTGCCACCTGGTGGTCAGCACACATCATAGCTACTGGTTGTTTGGTTGTTCCACCATTCAGTCTATTTGCATCGTAGCCTTTTATTATATAGAATGTGAAGATTGGAACTAGAAATAGTGATGGTCAGTCAGATAACTATGAATCCTAATAGGCACTTCCCATCCTTCAGGGACCCTAGTTCTCACATGCCAGATCTCAGATCTCAGGTGTTTCCTGCCAATGAATCCTCATTTCTGAGCCAGCATGAAGCACCAGATACAGATGGAGATAGATGCACTGAGGTAAGTTTACTTCTTGGCAAAAAGATGGATGTGCATTTAGACTTGTTTCACCAGAAGATTTACCCTATGACCGGATATGAGCTCCGCAATGCCTCTTGAGAGGGTGAGAGCTCCGATAAGGTAGCACAAGGAGCTAGGCCAAATCTTTGGCCCTTTGCGCTGATCTTCTCAAGATACTGTTTGATTAAATTCCTACATTTGATCTTGGCTTTTTGGGGGTAGTTAGCACATCATAAAAATAATGACTAAAATTTTGTGTATTCATTTTACACAGGCACTGTTCTTAGATATTCATGTGTCTTGAATTAGAACCCTCTTATTGACTCTAGGAATGTGTGATATTGGTATCTTCACATACTGTGGCATAACATGTGGCCATGATAGAATCAGCTCCTTAAGTCAGCCGCCCAGAGAGCGATGTCACCAGACTCACAGCACAAGGAATCTGGCTGCAGAGCCTTACCTTTACTCAGTCCTCTGTCAGGTGTGCCCAGAGGGTCATGGAGCAGAGGAAAGAGTTCCTGTGTTTCCCACATATTCTTGTATGTATTCCACGGTACCAGGAACCTGGGGGATTAAATAATAAGGATGAATTTGTTCTGTTTTCATTTGAAAGAAGCCATATTGGGCATTGAAGGTGCGTTGCTTGCAATGAAAACTATAGCAGATTATATGAATGCAAGGAGATGTTGTTTTTCTCCAGGAGAAAGTAGGAAACCCTACAGTGGTGACCATAAACACACTTTCAAAGTCTCTAGCCTTCTTCACTGTCCTTTCATCCCCAGCAGACAGAAGAGCAGCATGAGGCCTGAGAACCAGAGCAGCGTGTCCCAGTTCCTCCTCCTGGGGCTCCCCATCCCGCCAGGGCAGCAGGGCGTGTTCTTCACCCTGTTCCTGGGCATGTACCTGACCACGGTGCTGGGCAACCTGCTCATCATCCTGCTCATCAGGCTGGATTCTCGCCTGCACACGCCCATGTACTTCTTCCTCAGTCACTTGGCCTTCTCTGACATTTCTCTTTCATCTGTCACTGTCCCTAAGATGCTCATGAACATGCAGACTGAGCGTCAATCCATCCCCAATGTGGGATGTATTACTCAGTTGTATTTTTTCATTCATTTTGCTAGTCTTGATAATTTTCTTCTGACTGTGATGGCATACGACAGGTACGTGGCCATCTGTCATCCTCTGTACTACACCACCATCATGAAGGAGGGGCTGCTTGCATTGCTGGTGGCTGGCTCTTGGATAGTTGCCTGTGTCCATGCTCTTTTTCATACCCTCCTCTTGGTCCGACTGTCTTTCTGTGCTGACAATACCATCATCCACTTCTTCTGTGACCTCGCTGCACTCCTAAAGCTGAGCTGTTCAGATACCTCCCTCAATGAGCTGGTCATATTCACTGAGGGAGGAATGATTTTCTTTTTGTGTTTTGGTGTTATTTCATGCTCCTATATCCGTATAGGGACCATCATTCTGAGGGTCCCCTCCACTAAGAGACTCTATAAAGCCTTTTCTACCTGTGGCTCCCATCTCTCTGTGGTGTCTTTATACTACGGGACAGTGGCAGGTGTTTACTTTTCCTCCTCATCATGGGGTTCCAAAGACATAATTGCTTCAGTCATGTATACAGTAGTTACCCCCATGCTGAACCCCTTCATCTACAGCCTGAGGAACAGAGATATCAAACAGGCCTTAGAGATGTGTGTCAATAGGGTTAAGTTCTTTAAGCAGCAATCACTAGATCCTCCTGTTGTAGTCAGGAGCACAGTGAGATAGATCTAAAATTATTGTATGGTCGAACTTCCATATAACTTTCATAGAATATGCGTTTTGTCATCATGTACATGTGTTGTTAATATGTTAACTAGGTCATATTTGCTACTTGGATTGTTAATAATTCTTTATTACTAATTGATATTTTTTGCTTGTTCATCATCTCTTACAAGATGTATGCAAAATCTCATGCAAAACATTTTGCACCATTATAATTGTGGATTTTTGTTTTTTTCCTTTGAGATATATCAGATTTTGTTTGTGTATTGTTTATACTGTGTTAATGAGGATGCCCTAATTTAGCATCATAGTCTGCTTCTGGTGAACTTTCCATTTATTTTTTCCCCTGATATTTTAATGTTGGATTTTCTTGGATTCAAGCTGATTATGCACATTTCTTCCCAGCTCACATTCAATGTCATCATGTTGGTAGATTGCAATCATTCAAAATAAGAAAAATTACACTTTGGAAATTCCTAGCTACTACCAAAAATAGCTTTGTAAAAAGAGAGAGACTTTAAAAAATGCACTTGACAGCACACAATTGTGTTTATAATTAGAAGATATTTCTAGTACTGGGTCCTACCTTAAGACCTCATCTACTTCTGATACTTTCTATCTATATGTACAGATGCAGATAGAGATATAGATACTAGGGTAGTGTAGATGGTAATGATGCAGCTTTCTTGCGGTTAGTGTTTACATGGTTTTTCTCTTCTATCACTTGAAACATTTCTTTGTCCTTATATCTGTGAGGTGTCCACTGTTAACAGTGTAATGTTAGATTTTGATCTTTTATGTAGAGTAACAATTATTATATTTCTGGAAAAATGTATCTACTAACATCTAATGTAATCTATATTATAAAAGGCTAATATGCAAATTGACCAAACGGCAGAACGACCGGTCGCTATGATGCACACTTACCACCAGGGGGCAGACTCTCAACGCAGAAGCTGCCTCCTGGTGGTCAGTTTGCTCCCACAGGGGGAGGGCAGATCAGCCAGAAGCCGGGCTCACGGCTGGCGAGCACTTAGGCGCACTCCCCATGTCAGTTCAACATCCTCCAAGGGCTCACAGACAGTGAGAGGGTGCAGGCCAGGCTAAAGAACCCCCCCAAGTGCATGAATTTCTTGCACTGGTCCTCTAGTCTACATATATATATATATATATATATATATATATGCCTAATATGCAAAATGTCTCTTTGGGAATTCGACCAACCAGAAGTTCGATCGCTCACTATGACGTGCACTGACCAGCAGGGGGCATCGTGGAACGAAGGAAGGCCCTGGTGGCATCCAGCAGCCAGGAAAGGGAGGCCATGGCCGGCTGCCTGCAGCCACTAGGGACCCTACCCGTGCACGAATTTCGTGCACTGGGCCTCTAGTTATAATATATTTGCATTATATTTTTTCTTTTTGTATTTATATTTTCAATATTACTATGTTTTTTATTGTTTTCTTAAAGCTCTGTACTTCCTTTTTTTAAAATATATTTTTATTGATTTCAGAGAGGAAGGGAGAGAGAGAGACAGAGATAGAAACATCAATGATGCAAGAGAATCATTGATTGGTTGCCTCCTGCATGCCCTCTACTGCGGATTGAGCCCGCAACACGAGACTGTGCCCTTGAATGGAATGAACCCTGGACCCTTCAAGCCTGTGGACTTCTAAGCCAAACTGGCTATGGCCCATGTTACTATGTTTTTTATTTGATACATCTGTTTCACATTTATTCTCTCTTGTCTTTATCCTTTTTGATTAATTAAATATATTTTTGGTATATAATTCCCCCTCTATTTACTTCTTGTTCATATATTCTTATTATTTTACTAGAGGCCCAGTGCATGATTAAATTGGGCGTGTGTAGGGTCCTCTAGGCCTAGCCTGTCATCAGAGCCATGTCTGCCACCCCGTGATGCCTCGCACACTCCCTGGATGCTGCCGGTGCCCTGCGATGCTCCGCCAATGCTGCCGGTGCTCTAGGGTGGGGTTGGGGGAGGGCTCAAGAGGTGCTCCATGCACCTTCTGGGACTGGTCATTTGGTCGGCCTGGTGTTACCATGTTACAGCCACAGGCTTTTATAATATAGATAATCATTTTATGTATTGTATGTAGAGATTATTTTACTTTCTCTTAATTTTTAATTGTAATTTAAATACAAAATATGAAATTTATTATTTTAGCTCTTGCAGTGGCATTTAGAACACTCATCACCTAGATCAGGGGTAGGCAACCTTTTTGTGAGTGCGTGCCAAAACCAGCAAAATGTCTGACTCAAAATTCTTCTGCGTGCCAACCCTAATTTTTTGAGAACATGTTACGCCTACTTGATATCTCTTAAGGTGTACGTATGTGAAGAACCTTGAAGAAATAATAAAATTCATTTGAGCAACAACAACAGTATATGATGATGAAAAATACATTGATTTTTTAATGTATACATGTACACTGATAGTACAACAGAAAACTTTATGACTTCACTTGATATTATCAGTGGGACTTTTGCTGCTGCATCACTGATGACAGAGATTTTACATCAGGTTTATATTTCATGACCTTCAGAGATATGCATGAGCTACTACTTTCATCCATCAGGCTACTCCTATTACGAGACTTAACAAAATTCATCACAAGAGAACAAAGATTCACAAGCGTATGTGGATGAAAACATGGAGAGTAACGCTGTTGCAAAGTTTTTTAAACAGAAATAATTTTCTGGATTGGCATTCCAAGTCCTCAATAGTTCGTTTTCGACACTTCTCTCTGGTACTCCTGTCTCTAGTCGCTTTTTTTCAATGTTTTCCAAGTCAACTCTGAGGTCAATAAATTTCTGCTTCCAAATAAAAAAGTTGATATTAAGAACAAAATTATAAATGGAAGATTGTAAGAGAGGGTTTCGCGTGCCAGCAAAAGTTACTGGCATGCCATGTTTGGCACACATGCCAGGGGTTGCCCACCCCTGACCTAGATCTCATTCTAGGACACCTAAAAAGAACTTTATAGAATATCAGGGTAATCAAGTGTTTGGCAATTGTGAAAAAATTAGCACGAAGATATCTATGAATCAGTATGAAGAAACATCAGGATAAGTGGGGAAAAAAACAATGTGTAAAAGAGCATTTACTAGATTCTAATTTTAAGTGAAAATAAAGGGGAGATAGAACACACATATGTCTGCCTATTTGAGCAAAAAGAAACACAGGAAGAATAAAACAGATCTGGAAACAGCCCAGGTGTCCATCTATATATATAAAAAGCCAGCATCCATAAGGACTGGAACGACCAATGCCTGGTCGCTATGATGCCCACTGTGGCCAGGAAACTGACCTGATCAAAAGGTGGGGCCAGCTGGCCAACCTCCTGCAGACCCTCCCCCTGGCCAGCCCACCCCTGATTGGCCCACCTCTCCACGATCGGCCTGCAGCCCCTCCCCCAGGCCAGCCCTGCCCTTGATTGACCCCCAACCCCAATAGGGAAGGGGTCTGGCTGGCCAACCTCCTGCAGCCCCTCCCCTACAGATGGCCCCACCCCTAATGGGACCCTACCACCAATTGGCCTGCAGCTCTTCCCCCTGGCCAGCCCCGCTCCTGATCACCTCTCACCCCAATAGGGGGTGGGGCCAGCCAGCCAACCTCCAGTAGCCGCTCCCCCCACCTGGCCACACCCCAGGTCAGCCCCCCCACCCCGATCAGGGGCAGGGCCGGCTGGCCAACCATCCATGGCCCCTCCCCCAAGGTGCTGGCCCCCAGTGGGCATCCCCCACCCAATTAGGGGGTGGGGTCAGCTGGCCCATGCTCCATAGTCCCTCTCTTTGGCCAGCCCCGCCCCCAATCGGTCCCCCAACCCAATAAGGGGTGGGGCTGGCCGGCCAACCTCCTGTAGCCCCTCCCCCTGGCCGGCCCTATCCCTGATGGGCCCTCACCACTCTGATTGGCCTGCAGCCCCTCCTTGCCGGGAGCCGGTCCATGCTTGCTGTTTCAAGGTACCTGGCATATATGGCATACTGTTCTTAATATGTTTGCTCACCTTCTTGGCACTATGTGTTTTAACCAAGGTCTCTGAGAAAGGTTGTTTCCCCAGGTAGGGATTTTCCCCTGAAGTTAGGGAGGGAATAAAACCTCTTAACTAGTGCCAGGTGGGTAATTAATCACTTTAACTACGAACAATCATGCTTAAGCTACATAATCTTTACTCCCTGGAATGGAGATAAGAAACGCCCTAACCTTTGTAATAGAGATTGATAGGATTGAATCAACTGGTATAAATACAGATGTAATAAGACAGTAAGACACAGAACTTAGAATACGGAACCAAGAGAGACAGAACCTAGGCACAGAACCTACACAGAACGTTCTCTAGAGACAGAAGAACTTCGCTGGAGAGAACATGGCAAAAGATACTGGACAGAAACTGGCCTCAGAACCTAGAGACAGAACCTAGCGAGAGAACATGGCAAAAGATCCTGGACTGAACCTGACTACAGAAATTGGCAAGAGAACCTGACTAGAACCTGGTGACTGAACCTGGCTGGATAACCTGGACAGAACCTGGCTGGAGAACCTAGCGAGGGAACATGGCTACAGAACCTGGCTGGAGGACCTGGAGAACCTAGCAAGAGAACATGGACATATATCCTGGCTGGAGATCCTAACCAGAACCTCACTGGAGATCCTGACCAGAACGTGGCTAGAGAACCTTGCTATGATGATCATCTGAACGTCCTCTCCATGTCATTCCTTCTTCACCGACTCCGTCTACACCTTTGGGGACCCCTGGACCTGCTGGGGTTGGACCCCGGCACCTCCTCCTGTCTGGCCCCACCCGTGATTGTCCTTCCATCCCAATAGGCAGTGGGGTTGGCTGGCCAAGCTCCTGTAGCCCCTCCCCCTGGCTGGCCCCACCCCTGATAGGCCCCCCTCACCATCTCTATCAGGGGTGGAGCCCACTGGCCAATTGCCCACTGCCCCTACCCTAGCTGGCCTAGCCCTGATTGAGCCC